TGCCGCCTTCGTATGGTGCATGACTCCAGCCTTGGTTGCTCGGGTAGATATCCTCTCAGAATCGTGCGTTTATTTCGCGACCTAGATATGATTATTTTACTTCCAATCTGAAATGAAGGAGGTTAGGTCGTGTGAAGAATGAAAGACAAATTTGATACCATACTGTTCTTTCGTGTTTGTCTGTCTGAACAACCATGCATAAAGTCATGTAACATTTGATACGATATCCAAGAGTCAATCACCATGATTTAACGAAGATGTTAGTTTTGTGTGAATATTAATTTTGTGGTTTCATAGGACTGTTGAATATCACAGAAAAATAGTTCACTCAAAGTTTTTCGTCCTATACATAAGACAAAAAAAAAAAAACAAAGAAGCCCGATAGAGCATAATTCATTATTTTAACACAAAATATATACAAATGCATAGTAAAAAGGAAATATTATTTTCTCATATATAAGTCAGCTGCTCCAAACATCAGTGAACAAAACTACCGGTTGCACGTATTTCATTCCTATTAACCAGCTTCTACAGTGATGCGCGTGTAGTCGCAGCTTCGTCGACGTTTGTACTCTCGAGCTGATCTATTAATTATGTTTATTATTTATATCAACTGAGTTCTACTAAAACGATAAACATATCTCTAAACGCTGCTACTGAAGCGTTAGATTAATTAAAATATATAATTTAGTGTTTGTTTGCTTGTTTTGAATTTCGCGCAAAGTTAAAGAGGGCTATCTGCTCTAGCCGTCCCCAATTTAGTAGGGAAAGACTAGAGGAAAGGCAGTTAGTCATCATCATCCACCGCCAACTCTTGGGCTACTCTTTTACAACTAATAGTGGAATGGACAGTCACATTATAACGCCCCCACGGTTGAAAGAGCGAGCATGTTTGGTGGGCGGGGATTCGAACCCACGATCCTCAGATTGCGAGTCTAACGCCTTAACCACCTGGCCATGTCGGGGGCCATAATTTAGTGAACTCTGTATGAGTAATAAACACGGCAATTATTATAAACATATCTCTTGATTAAAGAAGCTTAGGACTTTTTTTTTGTCATTTATAGATCGTTCTGCAATGCACGTGCAAATTATCAAGACACTTAACTAATATATAGTATACTGATATATATATATATATATATATTTGGAACTAAGCCTTGCCTAAAGATTAGTGTGTCGGATTGTGAATCTGAAATGCCATGGTCCGTGTCCCGTTGACGAAAAAACACGATCCAGACTTTGAGGCCGTGGGTGCGTTATAAGAGTGATGGAATTAAATCAACTATTTAGTTAGAGTCGCCTACGAGTTGGCGGTTGGTGTTGTCGACTAGTCCTTAAGTTCGAAATTAGGTAAGGCTTAAGCACTTACACAACTTTAAGAAAACTTCCAAAACAACAACAACAACAAAACATATATATATATTGTTCAGACGCAGACTAATTAACATGCCACCAGGTAACAACAGTATTCTGGCTGTTCTTCTGAGTAGCAGATAGATAAAATTGTTTATAAAAAATAAAGTACTCAAATACGTTTAAAACTGAAATGTCACATATTTCAACTTACCTTGAATTTTATTAAAAAATCTCATTTTTCTTATTTGATCACTATAAATGCTGTTCAATCTCTATCGCATTTGCACTACCAAAACCTTCTATGATAATCATTTAAAAGAACAGGCATAATATTAAGGCCTCCTACAGAATGAAATAACCTCACCGGCATGTCTTTTTTTATTATATATTTAGTTGCTCCCCCCCCCCCTCCATACACACGGTGGTTCAGCGGTATGTCTGTAGCCTTACGACGCTAAATATCGGGTTTCGATACCCGTTTTGCGCTAAACAACAAACATTTAACATGTATACTTGTTAGTTTCTAGCTTGCATTTCCAAAGTTGATATCATTTATTATAAAATTACTTTACATAAATGTAAAATTAAGACAGATTTATCTGACATTAATATTATTTTTTGTCTCACGCTACATATATCGATGCTTAAGTGAACCGTCTGTGTTGGTGCTGTGCTGAAACACATTTTCTAGACTGGTTTAGATTG